TATTCAGTGAGGTCAGTAAGAGAAATACTCTTTTCAAATGAGTTATCTGCAGATTACATTCTTCTTTCTAAACCCAGACTGTGATATAAAATACCTTCGGTTTAGTTCTAGATCACCTTGACCAACAATTTGTGATATTGCTTCTTAACCTTATAACTCAAAGTACAATCAAGAAAAGTGAGGCAAGAGTCTGTTTTTTCTTGAGGAAGATAATCTCAGCCATCTGATACCTATGAAATAAATTCTATCTTTAGATGCTTCCAGAGAAGCTAGCCTAGCTTTCCTCACTCATCTGTATTAGTGGACATACCATTCACTATCAAGAAATTCTTCCTTAGGCATGCTGTAGCTTCAAGTCATTTCCATTTGGTATGTTTAAGCCTGAGGTTTTCAAACTTTTTAGACATTTGAGTTTTCCCTTTTACAAATTGCCTATCTCAATACTTCCCAATAGTCTTTACATCTTGGCACATAGAAAATGATAACACATTGTATAAAAGAGTATTGTGAGTCAGCTAGTCAGTCTAAAATGACAAGCCCAGGGGTTTCTACCTGCAGTAGGTCCTACCTGCTCATTCAATCTAGGCATTCTGTGCCTTGTTTCTCTTCTTTGCCCATTTTCGTGGAGTTTCTTATAGTTTTCTTGCTGATTTAAAAGAGTTACTTGTATATTCTAGATATTAACTCCTTGTCACTTTTCCATGTTGCAGTTATCTTCTTTCTTCTCTTGTTTTTAAATAGCTTTCTATTTCATTTGAAGAATGGGTTTCCTATCCCAAAGAAGGGAAGAAGGAAATAAAAGAAAACCACCAATTTGAACATTCTGCTTCTGATTTACCTTTGATTATCACCAGCATGGGAAGAACTAATTATTTAGCATTTAGTCAACAAATAACTGAGCAGCAACTATATGCCAGATACTCTGTTAAACTTTGAGGATGTGGCACTGAATAATAACCATGGTCATTGTCTCCTAATTTTCTTTAAAAAATCTTCAAGATGTTTGTCAGGTCTCCCTTTAGGCCTCAGGTTCCAGGCAAAAATTAGATGTATGAAATCACTAGAATGTCAGAGCTGAAAGGATCCATGGAAATCTTTTTTGATATTTTCATTTTAGAGACAGAGACACTGAGGTCTAAACTTTTTGTGAGGGCCCTTCCCTAAAGAATTTCCTAAACCCTGGGTGATCCAGAGGCTCTTTGGTTCACCCTATTTCCTGGTAGTTTCTAAGATCTTTTCTGGAGATCTTGGGTATTGTTTATATCCCAAATCAATGCATTACTTCTAGATCTTTGCACTAGGTCTTAACTTGTAGATCAGCCCTGGTGGGTTTAAGAACAAAGTGAAATAGATGGGCAGCTTTCCTTGTTGTTACCATAACAATGCCAGGGCTAATTTGTGCCAATTGTGACTGATTTGATAATACCCACATTTAGCTACTCTTTGGCCTACCTTCCCACCCATGCCCACTTTACTCCTAGGAGACAGAGGTGAGGCTCTGGGAAACTGCCTCCCTTGAGCTATAGTACCCTGTTTCCTGTTACCATTGAGATGGAGTCAAAGAGTATTCAAAGCATACCTGCTAGTAAGAGCCACAGACCCCTTCTGTTCCCCCTGCCCTGTGAACAGGTCTTATCTAGGATAAAATAAGGGCCCTGAGTCTTATCTAGGATAAATACATCTTATTTCTTCCATCATTCTTCATGATGTTGCTGTTCAGGCCCGTCTCTACCCTGCTCACTCTCTTCTGGTTGTGTGCTATTCTCTTGGTGTTCCTCTGAAAAGAGGGTGAACTCAGAATCTAATTCTGCTTTCCTGCAGTGGTATGACTACCTTCCAATTACCTCTCCCATTTTTGCCTCTCAATATATTTCTTCTTTTTTCTGACAGAAGATGGTATTAGGTTTTTTGGCAATCGCATTTTCACTGCCAACTCATCTTAAGCTTACATACCTTCAAAAATGACTGAATAAGAGGAGTCAAGTATTGATTGACCGCCTAATCCTACCCTCTGTTCATCACTGATGTGGAAAATTTGATAGCTGTCAGGCCAGCCAAAAAAAAGGAATACAAAAGCAAGACTCCAGAGAACTGGTCCTTTCTCCTGGCTTTTATTTTTCCAGAAGCTTGTGTGGTATAGAGGTTGAGGGTGACATTTGGGGGTTATCCAACTACTCCCATATTCTTATCACTTATGTTTTTGATAAGGGCAGTTTACATCTATTATTTGTATTATTAGCAAGTGAGTATCTTAGACATTAGGGCTGCAGGAGATCTTGAGAAGACATTGGGTCTTCACTCCTCTTTCCTTGATAATATTTCATTCCTGGCAGACTTCTTATAGCTGTATTTTCGTTTCTTTACACTCTCTGGCAAAGACTTTTATCCCATTTTAATCATGAAGACAATTAAAAAACAGCATTAGGGGAAGTTTAAAAATAGGAACAAAATCAGCCAGAATCTATCAACTGTAACAGAATTATTTGCACTTTTGCATAATCCCTTCAAATCTGTCCATATGTATATATATTTACAGAGTTATAATCACACTATTATACCATTTCATGTTCTGCTTTTTAACATTGTATCATAAACACTTTTCCATGTTTTTACACAGTCTTCCTAATTATCATTTTAATTGCTATGTGCTATTTCATCAACCTAAATGTACCGTTATATACTTATAATCTAACATTAGCTTTAAAAAGAAGAGTTGATAAAACATTCTAGGGTTCTACCATCTCGTGAGCATTCTCCCTAATAAATCCCCTGCCACAGCATACATAATATAATAGAAAGAAAATGACGTCCTTAAGAGTGGCAGTAAGTAACATATTTAGGGAATTAGGAAGTTGGACTTAAATCTCTATTCATTCTCTTTTCCTGAGACCACGCTCTTATTTTTTTCTGTTATATTTTATGCTGATGTTGACCTCTAGAATCCTTGTTGAATTTTGGGGATTTTATGGTGTTTTGTTTCTTCCCTGAGACTTTTCAAATGGGAGTAGTGGACACAACTATTAAATATTTTCTGAACTGGATTATCAGGAGATAAATGAGCTATGTAGGCTGGCCTCTTCTTTCTCCCGTTGTGGTCACTCATCAGTACCTATTGCTTAGCCAGAAGTAACATATTGAATGTGCCACTGTTACTATTTTTCCCCCAGCTGTGCTCCTCAGCCTGTCTTAGGGAAAAAAAAAAGTGTGAGAAGGGGTAAGGAAGCCTCTGCTCCCATTTAATGTTGAGATGACATGCTCGCTGCTCTGTCTGCTCTATTGTAGCTAAGACTTCCAAAGATAGTAGAGTGAAAGAGAGACAGACAGACAGACAGACACACAGGCACAAACCACCCCAGACATACTAGGCTCTGGGAATTACATATAAGGCAGGGAAGGGCCTACAGGTATTTATTGCCATTCTTTCTGGTAGTCAATGTAATGCTTTCTAGAGAGACAGACTTTGGGGAGCTACCTCTGTAAAGGTAGTGGAGCCAAAAGGGTGCCCTGAGAATAGAGAGCATATTCTTCCTGGTCAAAAATTGCATATGAAAGAATGCAGGAAAATTTCAACATGTCAGTCATTGAGGGCACAAATTGTCAGTTAAACAGATGTCAACACAGGCGTAGACTATTAATTCGCCAACTGTGTAAGGGTACACATAAATTAATGGCTAAATTGGAGAGTGAGAACAGATAAGGGAAGTGATATTGTTGTAGGGGATCATTAAAAGGCATTGAAGCCAGGGATGAGCATCTTCTTGGAGTGTTCCCAGATGACCTCATTGGTAGCTGTGTTAAGGGAGACAAACTGAGGATAGGGACAGGACTATAGGTGGCAAATCAGTCACTGTAAAACTTTTCCTTAGGGGCTCAACACTTAAAAAAGTGTGAAGATAATTTCACTTAGCTTTTAGATGAAAGCAAACTACCATAATTTATCCTCACCAAGAACATTTTTATGTGCTACTGATTTCTAATGAGGGTAGTAACTATCAAGTGAAAATCCATGATAGTAGGTTCAAAATGGAAGATGCAGTTTAGACTGGGGCTGTCTTTGTCCTGACTTACAGTATGCCATGAGTCTGGTTTATGTTACCCCAGTGCTTTCTTACTAGACCAAAAATCTTTCATCCTTTTTTCTCTTTCATTAGTGGCTGTCTTTATTAATGTGTCCATTTATTTACAAATGTCTACTAAAACCTGCTCTGTTAGAAATATCACGCCCAGGCACACATAGGCTTGTTGACTGAGCTCATCTAAATGGTCACTCCTGGCCAGCTACTGTACCTTAGATAGTTGAGACATTTGCTTTGAGAAATGATTTAGCAGATATTTGCATAATGTGAATAGTATAAATGCATTTTCTTAAAGTACTGTATGTGAAACGTGAATGTCTAAGAAAAGATCGTATGTATGTTTTGATGTACACAACAGAGAAAGTCTAAAATGATAAACAACAATTATTCCTAGTTATTTCCTGACATTAAAGTTCATGAGGAAATTCTTTTTTAAAAAAAGAAATGGTTTGGTTTTGTCAATTACTGTTTCCTTATGGGTTGTTTTCCTGTTCTGGCCTCGGTTCCCAAATTTTTGTCAGTGTTATTAAGACCTTTGGGTTGGTCCTATAAGGAATAGGACCTTAGAGATATAAATGGATCCAGCTAAACCGGTAGCTAATAAGACATGTGAAAATGTGCTCAACCAGCTTCTTGGAAAGGGATATTTGACTTTTGGGGTCTTCTTCATAGAGGATGGAGGGAAAAGCGCTGTACTCTGGAGTCTTTGCACTCTTAAGACCTTTGCTGGCAATCCAGCCTTCCTAATTACTCACTGGGGGAATGACTTCCTTCTGTAAACCTCAGTTTCCTCATATGAAAAATGGAAATAATTATTCCATGACTACTTCATGGAACCAGAATGAGGCTCCTAAGTGCTTAGGAAGTGTAAAGCCCTCTGTAAGTCAGGAACCTCCTCAGCCTAGGCTTTTCCTTTGTCTTCAGGGCTATCTGAAGCAGTGCCGGAAAAGAAGGGACATGTTCAGCGATGAGCAACTGAAGATAATCTTTGGGAACATTGAAGATATCTACAGATTTCAGATGGGCTTTGTGAGAGACCTGGAGAAACAGTATAATAATGATGACCCCCACCTCAGCGAGATAGGACCCTGCTTCCTAGAGCATGTAAGTACCTTATCCATATAGGGAGGATTTTAAGAGGCGTTAGGAAACAAGGAAGGACCATTTGAGCTGTCTGGTTCTTTTCAGCTACTTTGTCCAGTGGGGGATGGGTTCCTCTCTGGCCCTTATTTTGACCCCGGTCTCTAGCCAGGATATAATGACTTAGAAAAGTGCTGCAATTTGCCCTAAGAGTCTCCTTCTTTACCATTATCCTCCCCTCTCCCTTTCCTTCTTGACAGTTAGTAGGATTTTTCTTCAGCTTCCCTCTTCTGTTTCTGTTAAGTTTCCATGAGACTCAGTATTTTGGAACTCAAGATATTCATTGCACAGGGAATCCAGGAAACTGAGAAATAAGACCATGGTTAGCAAGAAAGTAGGTCCCTGCAGGGCATTTATGGGAAGGACACTAGAGTAGGAGAAGTGACAAATATAAGCAAAGAACACATGGACTTAGAGGAAGGGTCTCTGGGAAACAGGACAGTGAGGATTTGAGTCCTGTATCTGTAATGTCTGTCTGGGTTACTTTGGACGAGTCCCTCAAGGGCTTTGGTTTGTTCATCTGGAATGTGAGGTTACACTGTATGATCTCTCGGGTTGTCTGACATCATCTGAGCCTCATTCATAGGCAACCTAGTTGTTTTGACTACACTTTCCCCTTTTAATAAAGTATTTCTATTTAAATATTTGATATGTGCACATAATATAAAATTCAAATGACACACAAAAGCATGCAGCTAAAAGTAAGTCTTTTTGGAAATTTTCCTGCTTTGCTTATGAGACTTTGTGTTGAGATGGGTTCCCTAAGATCACTCTTATGTTCAGTGATTTGGACTCATAATATTGTTATATTGAATATGGTTTAGGACTCAGAATATGGTTATACTCATAGCTATGATTTATATAGCAAAATGATTCAAAGTAAAATCGGCAAATGGAAAAGGCACATGGGGCAAAGTACAGAGGAAACCAGGCACAAGATTTCAGGAGTCTGTGGAGTCACACAGGATGTACATAAATCCCCTAGGAATGAGTTGTGACAACACATGTAAAATGTTGTCTGCCAAGAAAACTCATTAGAGACTCAGTGTCCAAGGTTCTTGTTGTGGGCTTATCATGTAGACACCCTCTGCCTAGTGTATACTAAAATTACAGATTCCCAGAAGGAAAGCAGGTGTTTGGCATAAGCCACATTGTACAGGCAGTCTGGACACAGTGAGCCACTCTTATCAGGTAATGATGGGAAACCCTCTTGAGAACCAAATTTGAAGATGCCAGTCAAGGGGAAATATTTCCAGCAGGTATTTCTAAGAATAGCAGTTTCAGGCCTGATATGATCATTCTTTTCTGCATGGTGTGTACACTCATTCAGCCCTTCTAGAAAGCACCTGAGTAGTATTTATAAATGTTAAGCATATGCATGACCTGCTGGTTCCATTCCTGAATGTATATCCTAGAGAAACTCTTACAGAAGTCCACAAGGGATCACATACAAGGCTGTTGGTGATTGCATGGCAGTGTCATATATGATGGAGTACAGTTAGAAGCAACCTAGGAATTTGTCATCAGAGACATAGTAAGTGGATGGGGGTTACTTATTGTGAGGTATTATGTAGCAAGAAACAGAAGACTAGATGTATGTACCTTACAGCAACATATATCAGAAACATAAGTGGGGAAAGTAGAATATAGAATAGTGGTTCTCAACTGGGGGCCGTCCGTACATTGTGGGATGTTTAACAGCATTCCTGGTCTCTAGCCACTAGATGTCTGTAGCAATACCCTGCTACCCAGTTGTGACAACCAAAAATGTCTCCAGACATTGACCAGTGTCCCCTGGGGGACATAAAAGAATCACTGATGTTTAGAAATGATCAGATACTTTTACCTTTAATCCATTAATGAAGTGAATTTGGATTGAATGATTTTCATATGTTAAATGAACATTGTATTACTGAGATAGACCCCACCTAATCACAGTGTGTTATCTCTTTTAATATTTTTTCTTAAAAATAGATTGTTTACCTTTTTATTAATTCTAGAATTTCATTTTTATCAGCGTTACTTAGATATAATTTACATACAGTAAGATTAATTGATTTTAAGTGATTTTAAGTGTATGCTTTAAGGAATTTTAACAAATGTAGATAGTTGTATAACTACCATAATAATCAAAATATAGGACATTTCTATAACTTCATAAAGTTCTCTTATCCTAGCATTGCAAACAATCTGTGCCCCTACTCCTGGCCACTGGCAAACACTGATCTCCTTTTTATTTGAAATTTTCCTTTTTTTTAGAATGTCATATACATGCAACCACACAGTATATAATCTTTTGCGTTTAGCTTCTTTTATTTAACATAATGCCTTTGATATCCATCCATGTTTTTGCATATATCATTCGTTTATTCTTTTTATTGCTTAGTGGATATACCACCTATTCACCAATTAATAGATATCTGGGTTGTTTCCAGTTTTGAACTCTAATGAACATTCTAGTACAAGACTTTTTTGAGAATAAATTAGGATTGGGGTTGCTAGGTTGTATGGTAGATATTTTAACTTATTAGATAATGCCAAACTGTTTTCCAAAGTTTCTGTACCATTTTTCATTTTCACTACAAATACATAAGAGTTCCAATTACTGCACATGGTTGTCAGCACTTGATATTATCATTATTATTGTTTTTTTTAATTGAGATTGAATCTCGCTCTGTCACCCAGGCTGGAGCACAGTGGTGCTATCTTGGCTTGGGGCAACGTCCGCCTCCTGGGTTCAAGAAATTCTCCTGCCTCATTATCCCAAGTAGCTGGGATTACAGGTGTGCACCATTACATCTGGATAGTTTTTGTCTTTTTAGTAGAGATGGGATTTCACCATGTTGATCAGGCTGGTCTCAAACTCCAGACCTCAAGTGATCTGCCTGCTTTGGCCTCCCTAAGTGCTGACTGGGATTACAGGCATGAGCCATTGTGCCTGACCAATCACTATTTTTTTTTTTTATTTTAGCCATCCTAACATGTAAGTGTGTAGTGGTATGTCATTGTAATTTTAATTTGCATTTCCAATGGATAGTGATGTTGAGCATTATTTTCAGGTGTTTATTTGTCATCTATATAAAAACTTTGGTGAAATGTCTGTTCATGTATTTTTCCCATTTTAAGTGTATTGTTTTCTTATTGTTTAGTTTTGAGAGTTCTTTTTTATTAAAAATTAATACAAAATAATTTTACCTATTTATGGGGTACATGTGGTATTTTGGTACATGAATACAATGTGTAATGATTAGATCAGAGTAATTGGGATAGCCATCATCTCAAACATTTATCATTTATTTGTGTTGGGAGCATTCCAAATCTTTTAGCTATTTTGAAACATACAATTAATTATTGTTAACTATAATTATTTTTATAATTATTATAACTAATTTGAAATATACAATTAATTATTATTAACTGCTGTGATATCAAACACCAGAACTTATTTCTTCTACACATTAACCAACCCCTCTTCATCCTTCTCTCCCCACAACCTTCCTAACTTCTGGTAACTACTACTATACTCTCCACCTCCATAAGATCAACTTTTATAACCCCTACTCACATATGAGTGAAAACATGTGATATTTGTCTTTCTGTACCTGGCTTATTTCAATTGACATATTGTCTTCCAGTTCCATCCATGTTGCTGCAAATGACAGGATTTCCTTTTTATAGCTAAATAATATTCCACTGTGTAAATACAGCACATGTTCGTTATCCATTCATCCATCAGTGGGCAAATATTTAGGTTCATTCCTTATCTTGACTATTGTGAATAGGGCTCTGATAAACATAGGAATGTAAATATCTCTTCTGATATATTGATTTTTCTTATTTTGAATATATATAATACCCAGCAGTGGGACTGGTGGATCATATGGTACTTCTATGTTTAGTTTTCCATACTGTTTTTCATAATGGCTGTACTAATTTATATTCCCACCAGCAGCGTATGAGAGTTCTCTGTCCTCTGCATCTTCTTTAGCATTTATTTTTTGTATTTTTGATAATAACCATTCTAACTGGGGTAACATATGTTCTTGTGACTTTGATTTTCATTTCCCTGGTGATTAATGATTTTGGGCATGTTTCATATACCCATTGGCCATGTGTATGTCTTCTTTTAAGAAATGTCTGTTCAGAGCATTTGCCTACTTTTAAATCAGATTATTTGTGTTTTTTTGTTATTGAGTTGTTTGAGTCACTTATATATTTTGGCTATTAATTTTTTGTCAGATGGACAGTTGGCAAATATTTTCTCTCATTCTGTTTGTTGTTACTTTACTCTGTTGACTGCTTCCTTTGCTATACAGAAGATTTTTAGCTTGATATAATCCCATTTGGGTATTTCTGCATTTGTTATCTGTGCTTTTGAGGTATTACTCAATAGAGTCTTTGCCCATATAAATTACCTGAGGCACTTTTCCAATGTTTTATTCTAGTAGTTTTATAGTTTCAAGTCTTACATTTAAGTCATTTATCCATTTTGATTTTATTTTTTTCATATGGTGAGAGATAGGGGTCTAATTTTATTCTTTTGCATATGGACATCCAGTTTATACAAGAAAATAAATTGAAGAGGCTGTCCTTTCTTCTCTATATGTTCTTGGTGTCTTTATTGAAAATGAATTGACTGTAAATGCATGGATATATTTTGGGATTCTCTATTCTGTTCAATTGGTCTATATGTCAGTTTTTATTCCAGTACCATGCTGTTTTGGTTACTATAGCTTTGTAGTATATTTTGAAGTTAGGTAGTGTGGTGGCTCCAGCTTTGTTCTTTTTGCTCAGGATTGCTTTGGCTATTTTGGGTCTTTTGTGGGTCCATATGAACCTTAGGATTTTTTTTTCCCATTTCTGTGGTGAATGTCATTGGTGTTTTGGTAGAGATTGCATTTAATCTGTAGATTGCCTTAGGTAGTATATTTTAGCAATATTAATTCAATAATATTAATTTAATATTAATTAGTTGCATTTAATCT